AAAAATTTGTTTTCACATCACACTATAAAATTCTTTACCCGTTTAACCCATTCCCACCCACCCACTCAGGTGAGAAGTTGGAAGTGGAACGGTTATCAAAAGACTCTTGAATTTTACAACCGAAAGAACTCTGACTTTTTTCACTGTTTCGTTCGTATTAATTTCATTTCGCAATATTTCAGTTGAAAAAGGAAACAACGCTAAGAAAAAATCTCAGAAAATTAAACCTAGCTGTTTAAACTAAGAGCAGTGCCTGACAGATTTGAAACGACAAACTGTTACAGGAAAATTGTATCGTCCAAACATGACGTCATCCTCAACCAACAGTCAACAAAGCTGTAACTACAACATGCCATAACACGTCTCTCGATAGACAGAGATATGTTTTCTTAAGTTGTCAAAATAATTTCATCTGGACAAGAATCATTTCAATTTAGCTTTGTTGAAATTGCTTCGCCTCTCATAGATGCTGCAGATTGATTCGTGAGAGTTACTCAAAGAAAGACTCTGGCCTGCCCAAGAAATGTTCCTCAAAATTTATAGTTGCGTTTTGCTCGTGTTCGTTTTCTACGTGAATTTTTGCCAGTCTTGTCCAAAGGTACGAAATTTTTATCATTAAGTAAGCGATTTTTCGGCGTTTCAATTGATTCAGAAATTTACTTATCCTACAAAAGTTACAGGTACCAGCAGGTTATTTCATCACTACTTGCATTGCAGACCATGGCCGGTACCTGATTATTAGTGATCAGAGACAGTCGCCTCAGTCCACAAAAGCGCTTTGCCTCGAGCCTTTTAAAGATTTCAAGGAAAAACGTAAATTAAGGATCTTCATCTAATCAGTCGGGTGTTGCAATTTGTTGTGATTGGATTAAATGCAACGTTACCCTTTGCAAATCTATTTTAACGTGTTAACAAGAGATTTTTATAATCTTTTGGTGTTAGGCCTTTTCTTCTATTTCTAATGAAGTACGTCTAGCTTTAGTAGGTGAAAGAACGTGATATATCTAATCATAGTTTAACCCTATCGTGAGCATCCTGTTTACTATGCATCACTCAAGGTTTTTTTTTCCTTTATCAGGAATACAATTTTGCCATCAATACAGAGTGGAATGGATCCAAAATCAACCACGCCCCTGTCACTTTCCAAATTAGTGCCCAGGACTCCCGAACCGTACGTATTTCTGTTAGTGGACCGTTCTTTAATGACCCAGACCCTCCACCGTGCAAAGCAGGAAGTGCCTGTGATGGATTGTGGGATTATGAAGGTATGACTCTAAATTCATGAGTTTTGTAAACTGCAATATTTCAGGAATTTAGGCGGGTGGCCTTTCAATTATGATTTGAAATCAAGGCAATTAATTGTTTATTTATTTTTCGTTTTAGCCAAGACTTGTATAATCAATTCCTATAATTCAGTCAAATAGTAACTGGCTTGTTATAGTTTTTAGCAAGATCGCGTACTTTATCTAGTTAAAGCCTAAAAAGAAGAGGGCATGATCAGGTATTCCATGGTTCGCTGACGCGTGATTGAGAACCCACTCGGTTAGTGTTTGCAAATTTTTACCAATTTGAAAATTTTAATTTAACAGTCCTATAAAAAAAACCTATTTTTCTTTTAAAACAGCTATTTAGATAAAGAAACAAGTGAATATATAGTAGATGTATGAAAAAAACAGATAAAAGTAGTCGACTATTTTTATACAATTTAAGGAGCTTAAAAAACTACGAATTTATTATCATCCTTATTGAGAAAATGACATACACTTGTCCGTTAACAGTCTGATTGATTATATTATTCCTTATTCCTTGTCTTTCTTATTTCAGTCGCTGAAGTCTTTTTCCTTGGAAAACGAGAGAAATACCTAGAAATTGAGCTTAGTCCGTGAGTGTTGCCTTTCACCCTTCGAAATTCTTTACTTTTACAATTTGAAAAAAGAAATTAAAAAATGAATTTGAGGAATTTGCCGCCGGCATCCAACCTCCTCAAGAATTGAAGAATTCCGTTTGCTTTCTTCTAGGAGTATCTTGGATGGGAGGAGTTGCCACGATAGTGTCTCATTAGCATCATTTGGGGGGGGGCATGCCAGTTTGATTCACTGTTTGAACTTATCACTTTAACTCTACAAAAGGAGTCTCATGCAATCCTGCTCCCCCCCCCCCATGGGGTCCCTTGCTTAGGAGTTGGTGATGTTCTATGTCATCTTTCCCCTTGTTTTTGTTTTGAAAATTAAAATATCCGGTTGGATTATGTTTTTAGGCACGGACAGCACTTGCTCCTCCTTTTAAATGGAGTGCGAAAGAAATTCTTAGTAAGTATAACTTAACTTTGCAGAAGATTTGTTTGCTAGGAAGAGATCAATTATTCCATTCTTTTCTCTGCAGTTCCATGTACCGGTAACTGAAAATTTTTACATTACATCGTATAGTAAATTTTTTTTTGTTTCCTTTGTTTCTTTCTCTCTTTTTTTAAACAATTGCTGGCTCGTATCTTGTGCACACTGTTCAGAGTAACACGAACATTCCAATAAACACAGCCGGAAGCCTAAAGGTAACCTTAATTTTCCTCTCGTTTTTCGTTGACAGGACAAACTTCCGATTGAGTACGCAGCCACAATCGACCACGCAAAAAATACATGGAACGGAACTGCTAAAATCCCAATCGACTACTTTCCTCCTGAAGTGAGAAAAATCAATGCATACGCTATTCATGGCTCAGGGAATCAAAGGAAATACGAGTCACTGTATCCTGCATCAGCTGATGTCACCAATCCTGACTTGTAAGTTGTCTGTCCTATAATTTCGATCAGCTAGTTGCAATACCTTTCAACTCTGTGGGGTGAAGGAGGGTATTTATGTTGCTTTTCCACACTCTATGATTAGTGCAGAAACTCGTGACACCCTCTCAACCAATCTAATTCAAAACTAAAATTAATCATGATTTCGTCGCCCGAGTTCTTCCTCGCTTTAGCCGCATACACGTTCACAGTGAGTTCTCATTTGCTCCCTTTGATTTAGTGTGGTGGGAAACACGACTTCAAACAAGGCTAGACTTCAATCTTAACCTCTCCCTTTTAATACTCTTTCTCCCCAAACGTTCCCAGGCCTTCTCAGTTTTGGGCCTATTTCTCATCATCCTCATTTGGTTTGAGGCGGATATGTAAAGAATCTGAGACTGGAACATGGGCACTACTCTCGTTGAGTAATTTTTATTCTTTGCTTTTTCAGCCATCGTCTGGAATTTTTCGAGCCGTTTGATTTTGACGCCATGTTTACCTTGTCCTGGAGTAAACCACAGTCCCATTATTGGAAAAATGTCAAAAGAATGCTGAGGGCAAGACTCAGAGCTTAATCACAAACTATGCATGCTGTCAATAAATTGAGAAATCTTTAATGAAAACCTCGCTGATAAGTAAAATCATAGCAGCGAAGAGTCTATAAAGGAGCTACCCTGAGGGTAGAAGAAGGGCATTAAACATATCTTTTACCCCCTCACGTTTGATCCCATGGGTAGGCCTTTCCAAGACCTTTCACAGAAATGAAGTCCCTTTCCTAACCAACATTTTTAAACGACACTGCTGAAAGACTTCTTCAAGTCCCAATAGAGATAGCTAGAGCACTTTAACTAACACCTCAGCAAATCTTCCTCACTTTACGCACAATCGCTCTGACGAAGGGCTAACGCTCGAAACGTCAGCTTTTTTACCCTTTACGGTGGCCAATTTACGTTTTCAACTCAGTTGTTAACACTAAATTACCTGCTAACCCTCCCACCGACGCAGCACCACATTTTGTTTAGGAACTTACCCCTTAATTATGTTGGATTACTTCTTCAATCCAACATAATTAAGGGGTAAGCCTAAATCTAAAACCTAAATCTAAAACCTAAAACCTAAATCTTCCTTACCCCTCCCTGTACCTCAACTGATTTAAAAACCTTTGGCTCATAAAAGATAATAATCGGCGTTTTCTTTATAATTTAAGTCCTCATTTTTTACTTTATGAATGAGTTTGTACGAAGTCACCGGTATTGCAGCCGCCGCCAGATCTAGATCGTTTGTAAATACTTTGCAACTTAGCGATGAGCTAAATGGCGGACGTGACACGTGTATGGTGAATGACCTTTATGCGTGATAGACATCATCTGCTGAAATTCAACCCCAGGCCTCGTTCAAATTACACTTTTCTTGAGTCTTTGTCATCTTGACGCAGTTTTCACGAGGGTATTCGTCTGACTTCCACGCTCAGGGAAGTTATTGACCTTAGTAACCAACAGCCCTCAACTTGAAAGTTAGGCTAGGTAAACATGCCTTCTTGTCGGTCAGCAGCCATCTTTCCATCCATAATACCGACATCTCACGTACCAAATTTGCCATAGCAACCCCCTGACCATGCTCCGTTGGTGAAATTGCATATCATCGGACAAATTAAATTCCTAATCTGCAGTCCGTTTACTACCTCTGGGGCAGGGTGTCAAGCTGACCAAAAAATATCCATTTCTAGACAGGAAGGGTGCTAGAAACTGTTTTTGTTACTGCAGATGAGAAAAGCTTGGTAAAAAATTTCATGCCTGTTGTCCCACCAGGAATATAGCTGACAAAGTACCTATGGAAAAAAACAGAGAAGCAAAAATTGCCTGGTTAATGTTAACATTGTAATGTTACCTTGTGAATAAACAAGTCAGTTACATTTCAACATGACATCATTTTATTTAGCTTTACTTCCCATAAGTTTCTGAATAAACGCCGTCATTTGTTTTAACTTTGTTTAGCCTTCTGCACAATGTGCTTCATTGGGGAACATTGCAATCCCGTGGCTCAGAATAATATCTGAACCAAACTTACCATACTAGGGCAAGAATTTGGACCAAAGCACAAACTGCTGTCAACAATGTACTCTTTACCTGACAAAAGAATTGGTATGATGTCAGTCTGTAAGTATTTGAATACAAATTTGCTTGAATGTGAGAGAAACCTTATCTCATCTATGTTAGACGATCAATGAAGACACATAAGAATTATACTTTTAGATAATCGGTTAATAATTGATTTATCTATATTCAACAGGGAAATAATTTTTTATTGAACAGGCATCACAACTTACAATCATGGCCATGTAAAGTGTTGCAAACATTGATCCAAAGTAAGCAGCAGTAAAAGGAAGCCTTTCAAGTGAACACAGATGTTTGACATGATTGACTGGACCCCAGAGTAAAGAAAAACTGAAACCAAAGAAAAGGATGTGATGCAAACCTTACTAAAGAAATCTTGGTTGAAATGAATTTGGACACTGATTAAAATGCCAGTAGAAAAGATAAGGAGGCCTTTTATAGTCACATGACTGTACAAACATACGACCAGACACACACGAATCTTTAGCTGCTTTTTGACAATACATCTGTGTACAAAACATGTTCATTACATAAACATTAAATGAAATATCAAAATTTCACCTGTTTAAAGAACGTGATACCTTCCTCTCGCTCAGTGAATTAACAATTTATATTTTCACATTTGAAAAAAAAAATTTTTCTACATCATTGAGTTTATCAAATTTTCAGCTTTATTTTATACATAGCGCATCTTAATTTCAAAATATCACAACGCCATAGAATTCATCTTTGTTTAAAGACACTAAATGTTTTCTGTAGAAAGAATTCTTTTAATAGTTATTTTAAATTTACAGTTGAAGTACCATTTCTGCACACTGAGTTAACAAGCAGCTGGACTTTGAATTTATTTCCCATAAATGTGTTTTAAAATTGTCTTTATCCAAATATCAATTTACCATATATGTGACAAACAAAAAATTACATTTCCAATTGCAATGTGGGGTTTTAAATTTATATTCTAAAGCTGCTGATACATCTCACTCTTTTGCTTAAATGGACTTGCGAGCAATACTATGACAACAATTGAACACAAAATTCTGGCCATGTGAATATCATATATTCCCCTGCAATCGGAAATAAGTCACACATAACTTGATCAATGACTCAAGTGAACTTCTAAATTGAACCTTTCATAGTGGAAAAAATCAATTTTAAGGGTGTACCCAACTGATTAACAAGGAGCTCAGGGCTTGAGATACATTTAAAACATTACCTTCCTATGGTAAACAAACTTCCCATTGTGTAGAGAAGGACAAATTTTCTTGCCTTTAACAGCATAACAGGTGCAATAAGACCAGCCTTTAATGAGTTAAGAAACCAGAACAGTTATATGACACAGAAATAACAATTTTCAGAAAAAAGTGAAGGGTGACTGCTCCATGTTTAATTTTCCAGTAAGATACTTGTATCCCTTTAACCCCTTAGAGCAACTGGCTTTTTATTTCTCCTTACAGTATCATCCTAAAATCATATGTAAAGGTCATGAGAATAAAGGACATGATCACCAATTTAAGAAGCTCCTGACTGCCACACAAATTCTCCTTGTCTTCACCATGACAGTAAATGTGAAGAGAAATGCTTGGTAAATATGAATAATGATAGGGTGTAGAGGGTAAGGAGTATTGCTAAGTACAATTATTAATTTAACAGTAATAAGTGAAAAGATAAGTAACAGTTATTTGTTAGAGAACAACCTGTGGAGAGGTGTACATAATCTTAATCCTTTTAACTTACCATTACAAAGCAGAAGATCCCTAACAGCAGCAACAGAAAGAAACCTGTGATACGTTGTGTTTTAGACTGTAAACAATAATGAAAATAAGTAAGTCACCATGCCCATAGATACAGATAATCCTGTCATGGGATTTTCTTCCAATAATTATAAGGGTCTCTTGTACTCTGAAACTGACGAGATTTCCAACTCAATGAAAATAAAATAAAAAATGAAATAAAATGAATTTTCTGACAAGTCTTACATAAATAGTATTAATGACAGATGTCTACATGTACATTCAGCTGCAGGTAAAGTGTTCCAGCCTGTCCTTTTGATTTACAATGCTCATCACGTACATCGCTGAGCGTTAGCGAGGTAATTTTGTATTCTTTCGCTGATGATAACGTTTCCAGGGTCACGTCGCTAGCCGTTCAAACCCCTTGGAAGGCCCAGAGCTACTAATGACGTGTCATATTTAGCGAGATTATCGTTTTATATTTATGTAGCTTTGATTGCTCTGCCATTGAAGCTAAGTTGAAAGTGATATGATTTATATCATCGAACTAGTGACTGATATATAAGATGTTCAAAAACCAAAAGGAGAAAAAATTAAAAATTTTCGGTCAAAACCCACCAAAGAGGGTAAAAATGGGTCCTTCTCCCCTTTAGCAATCCAATTTCCCCATCCATTCGAGGAAGAAGAATTTGAACTTTGATTGACCCGTGAGGAAGATGAGTCATTTTTCGATGACGATCCAAAGGAAGTAAAATCTTTTAGGGCAGAAATTTTGCTATCCAAATCCATATTTCAACCACCTTTTTTCTCTTCGCATTTACTCCGGTCGTGAAAATCGCGGGCTCAAGAAGTTTGAGACTCTCTCATTACCAGTCTTCCGAGGTTATGTGGTGAAGGCTCGGTCCTCCTAAACGAAAGAGTTAGAGCATAATTATTATCAAATCATTAGTCGGGCATTGATTTATAAACTCAGACATACTTTACTGATAAAGAGAGACTGGATTTGCAACAGATTCTTGGTTTACCAGTCAAGAATGCAGAATTATTTGTGGCACTCACTAACTTACCCTCCCTTCCCTCCCACCGAGCCCCCATCCTTTAAAACGAATGCACTGTTTACTTGTAATCCTAACTTTTTCCTGTCGATTTTAATACTGATTGTTGAAGAGAGATCAGAGAGAAAAAAGGCAAGGAAACCAAGAAACCATGTGAATCAGCAGTATTACCACCGGAAGAATTGGTTCGTTTCCCAGAAACGGAAACGTGACGTCACTTTCAGTTCCTCTTCGTCATGTGTTCATTGATTTGCGTCGCTTAAAATCACACAGGCGCTTTCTAAGAAGATAAAGAGACAATTGAAAATCCCAGATATAATTTTAAAGTGATTTGACGGATTCATCTGGGATTTGTTTCGGGTTTTGTCGAATTTTAGCAGGTTTCATGATGCGTGTTCATGTCAACTTATTGGACGCAAAGACAATTGCTGTGGAGGTGCAATCTTCAGACGCTGTTGACAAGCTAAAAGAAGTGATATCTCAAGCTACTGGGCTTCCTCCTACCTCTCAGCGTCTTTCGCAGAAAAGAAATGGCGAAGAGATCGATTGTCATAGCATTGGTGTGGGGTATTTGATAAAACCAGGCTCGCTCATTCATGTGGCCTACAAACAGCTGAACTCAGTAAATTCATTTTTTATCAATGCTGTGACCGAAACAGGAAGAGTTCTGAAGGTAACTCTCGAAGAAGGGCAATCTTCCACCATCAACGATCTGAGGAAGAAGTTGTCGAGTCGGGCGATGCTTGGTGTTCCAGAACACAGTCTGTTTCTGCGCCAAATAGACTCGCCTTACCAGAACAAATGCTTAGGGAAATCCTTTAACAGTTTGGACGAATCTGGAGTCAATCATGGTTCAGTTGTGTACGTGCAAATCCATCCATGGGAGAAAAAGTAAGTTTTGATGTTATATGAGTGCGCGAACAGCACAAGTACGTGATCTTCTTTAATAAGTAAATTTCCGAGAAATCAAGACGCCGTCATATTTGGTACATTTTCCAATAATTAGAAAGGTAGTAATGTATTATTTGAATATTGACATGAGCAACTATAGGTATAATGATTACTCGCATTATTTCGCGCTAAAATAACCAGATATGAGCTTGCGTGTTAAAATTTTTTTATTCATTTCTTCGCTCATTGACATTCAATCGATCATTCATCTCTTATTCCATTTATTTACATGGTGATAGATGTTTTCATTGCTGAGTTTCATTCTTATGTCTGTATAATGTTTAATTCATTCTCCGCATTATTTTCCTTTGTTCATCTGCTCACTAATTCATTCAATTGTCCATCCATCTTTTTTCACATTGGTGACACCTTACTTTGCTGAGTATCATTCGTTTGTTTGCTCAATGTTTTAAACGTTTTATTTAAACGTTTTCCTTCATATGATGCAGGCCAATTAATTTTCATCCAATTTATATAATTCATCCAATCCAAGTTTATAAAAAAAAGGAAAAAGAAAAAATACTGGGCTAGATTCAAGACTGAACCAAAAGAAAGTTAGATTCTTTGTAGTTGCAACACAGACCTTAACAAAAAGTCTACAGCAATTATTAGTATAGAGTTTGGATTATGAAAAGAAAAAAGGGTAAAAGCAGTTTTATATAAGTTACAGTACATGCACATGCCCCCTGTAGTAATTTATTATAAATTTGTTTTCTTTGCGGCTTTCAACACAGCTGGTTCCATGGGAAAATATCTTGTGACCAAGCAGAACAGATCATGTCCTCTGCAAGCAGTGGACAATTCCTTGTCAAAGAGAGTTTAAGTTATCCTGGAGATTACATCATTTTTGTATGGTAAGTTTGGCTGTACTACAGTCTACGTCCAGTTACTGCATAATGTTAATGAACATTTATTCATGATAATACATACTTAGCTACCTCTCCTCCCCCCATTAATTTATTACTTTTGAACCTCATAGCTCTTCATAGATTTTGAGGTAATATTTCAACATTGAAAGGGTTGTTCTGCTCTTTGATGTCATAGTATTGATGGCAAAACCAGCCACTGGAAGGTGTCGTGGAGCAGGAAGATGCAATTCACAGTTAATGATCGAGAGTATTTTGACAGCATCTCTGACATGGTGGCAGTGAGTATCAACATTGAAGATTACCAAGTTTCAGTTGAAGCTATGACAAATTAAGTGTTAAAGACTTAAATTTAAGTTAAAAACTACTTTCACCCACATACTAACCCCACCCACAACTAACTACTAATAACTTACAAAATGTCTTAGTTAAATAGATGAAGTTTACATAACAATTTTCCTTCACTTTCAGACAACCTCATTAAAGTTAAATTGAAATTATCATAATTATAAATCTCCACATTACACTACTTACTTACATCTTTTAATTAACATACTATAAACTATACTCAGTACCTCTTTACTTTACAGTACATACTTACATCTTCTAATTAACACTCTATATACTAAACTCAGTACTGTTGAAAGGAGATGGCAAGGTGAAATGAAAAGACAACTTTAATCTTTAGCAGCTAAGGCACAACTCCCGAGAAGTGAAGGGTGGGAGTGGGAAGGAGAGGGTGCATCTTTGACCAAGATAATTTTGAGAAAAATAGAGACTTTCCATGCATGTTAAGAAACAGGGAAGTTGCTTGGTAAGTTGAAATTTACATGTAAATGAACTTGCCATCCCTCAGTGAAAGCATATCCTGCAGTGGGGAAAAAGACTTTTTACTCTAAATGCAAAGCAAATCATGTCTGAAATCACTTTATTTTCTTTAGCATGATTAAAATTTGGTTGATTGAGGGCTCAGATTTTGTGACTAAATGTTTCCTTTAATTTTATAAAAAATTTTCAACTCTAAGCAATTTCTTAATTAAAGTAGGTGGAAGAAACATGTGAAGCAGTTCTTATTGAATGTGTTTATAAAGGGTTGATGTACCAGATGTATCATAATAATTGTTTATTATGTCGTGTAGTTTTACCAAAACAACACAGGATATTGGCTGCCAATCAAACTGACCAAGCCTGTAAGCAGACAAGAGGTTACCAATGGAAGCACAGATGATTCCTTATTGTGTACAGGGGAAGGTAATTATGATCACACATTCATTGCAATGACGTGACGTAAAGTTTTGTGACAGTCACATACACATTGTAACAACTCTGTTGCAGCTCCACTGTATTCACATGTTCAGTAAATATTATTTTATATGTGTTTTCTGTTACTGGTAACTTGTATATACAATAATGTGTTGATAAAAGTAGGGATATTATTCTTTTCTGCTTGTTGGTTGCACAGTATTAATGGATAGACTGCATATTTTTGCCCTAGTAATGTGCAAATGTGAGTTTGTTTAAACTTTTCTTTCTATTGATAAAGAAAATGATAAATACCAATCATTGACATCCCTGCCTGACTTCCTTCCACAAGAGTTGTGCTTATTATATTGTGAAGAGTTTGTCCTTTTAAAAATTTATAAAGCTTTGAAGTTTTTAATCAGTTTTTAGTGTGTTCATGAAAGAAGTTGACAATTCAAGGTGACAGAAGTTCTTTTATTATATAGGTACTGATGAAATACCAGGATTTTTCCTTTTACTAAAAAATCATATCTTCATCATGTGCAGTGAGGATACTGTTTTTATCTTTCATGTGTGAGGATATTGGTGTCGCTGTGGTTACTAACATGATTAGCCAATCAAAAGAGAACTTCCCACTCAGGCACGCACCCAGTTCTTTTGAAATTTCACTATTTTACAAAATAGCTTTGAAGTGCAAAGACAGTACAGTTATCGGTGAATTTCTCAATGAGCTGCCAAATTTTCACATTGATACTTTTTCTGAGCTTGAATAACATTCAGGAAGATTTGCCAAAGTCTCTGAAAGTGATGTTACCAGTGATCACTTTAACTGCACTATTTTGCTGTTTCGAAAATGAATTTAAAAAGTTGTCTTTTATGTAGGAATTTCATCAGTATCTATAAAATAAACAGAACATTACATGGCTGCTTGGGGATACAAATTTTATCTTCTCCTGCTGAAAGTATATAGAAGTTTACTTGCAGCACTCGAAGATAAAATTTGTATCCCTGCACAGCCATGTAATATTCTCTGTACAATTAATGGTATCCTGGTTATGTGGAAATTTCTCCATAAAATATTTCATGGGAACTTTGTACAAGATTTTATGTAAGAAATTGTAATTTACTCCTTTCTTCTTTCACATTTTGATTATCCTCAGACAAAAACGTGTCAAGAGGTCGTCTTTGCACAAATTTGCTCTCAGAAATTAATCTTACTGTGGTAGTTGGACAAGAGACTTACTCACTTCTAACAAGTCCTTTCTGTCAAGTGGATGATTTGAAGAAACAAGTTGAAGAATTGAGCGGAGTGCCTGTTGACTCTCAATTAATAAGACTTAATGACAAGGCATTGGTGATGCACAAGTTTTTTCTGAGAGACCATCGTATTTTGAACAACTCAACTATTCATGTTCAAGTTCACCCATGGAATGAAGAGTATGTTCATGTATTTAATTTAGTCTCTGAACTAGTTAGTGTCCTGTCCACTCTGAATCAAAGGGGAATTTGAAAAGGTCTTAATAAGAAACTTCAAGGGTCTGGTATTAATTAAGGTACATTTATTGAAAGATCTGTTCACTTTATGAGGGTGTGATGCAAATCTGAGGGATGGGAGTAGTTAGGGTTGGGTTTGGGTCCACTGTGCCACTATTTAATACCTTAAAATTATTCCTGATCAACTTCTCGTATCAAGACAAAGTC